ATTAAAAAAAAAAAAAACACTACTGTTTTTTAAGCACCTACTCTATGAAAGGCATTTAGATGTTTTACACACATTATCACAGTTAAGTCTTACACCGTATCTATGAGGTAGGTGCTATTATTCCCATTTTGCAGGTGAGGACAGTGCAGGTCAGAGGAATGATTTCCCTAAGGTCACACAGCCAGTTAACTACAGAGCCAGGAGTTGAATATAGATTTGATTCCAAATCCTATATTCTCTCCCCTCTGTATATCAGCCCCTCAAACTTATATTTAAGACAGACTTTGAATGGAACTTTACATACTTAAGGCATCTGTGAAAGAATACTAAAATGGCTGGTGATACGAACTTGCAGAGAAATGCACATTATTTCACCTTACTTTTCCACCAAATAACTCAATCTGTTAATAGACTTTCCCAAAAATATTATGGAATAAACTGAGCCTTTCTATGATTAAATATGACCCTGTATTCAAACAAGGCCTGATTATTAAATATTTGAAGCTAAATTAGCAATGAGACTATTACCGTTCTAATATAAAGATTCAGAGCTGTTTGAGAATTTGCAAAACTGCCCCAAATTCTGTGAGCACTTGGGCATACACTTCTCCAATCACTGAACACATTCACTGAGCATCTACTCTTAGAACTATGTAGAGCAGCCAGTTTTAGGGACTTGGAAATACAGTGACAAGCAAGATAAAGTCAGTAACCTCAATGAACAATGGGGAAAACAGAAACCACACAAGAGAACAGGAAATATACCTCTAAGAAGGTAACATCTGTATTAGAGATCTATGTGGTGGAGGAGAGTGAGCCATATAAATATCTGGGGGGAAAAACAAAAGGAAGAACATTAGAAAAAGAGGGAACAAACAGCAAAGGCCTTGACTGGGAAAAGGAACTGGTATGTTTGAGGAACAGCAAAAAGGCCAATGCCACCAGAGAGAAAAGGTAATCAGAGATGAGGACATAGAGATGGATACACCATGTATATCCTTGAAGGTTCTGATAAGGAGATTGGATTTTATTCGGAATGTAAGGAGAAACCATTGATTTTTTAAAAAGATTGCTCTGGCAGCAAGAGAAATGAGAATAGGGGAGCAGAATGGAAACAGACAGATCAGTTGGGAGGCTACCACAGGAGAAGATAGTGATTTGAACTAGGGCAGTGGTGGTAGAGGTGATGTCTTTTGGTATCTAGGAGTCATCAGCATATAGATAGTCTTTTAAGTCTAGAGCTGAGATAAACATCAAAGAAGTGAGTGAATATAGAGGAATGAAGGGCTGTGGGCTGAGCCCTGGAGCACTCCAATATTACCCGTATAGAAAAGGAAAAACTAGAAAAGGGAAAATATTGTCATTTTATCAGCACACCTGAAGTGTATTTTGTATTCAGACTTTACTTGGTTTCTTTTTCTAAGCACTAGAGGAAACCAGGCAGTTTGGAGTTTGTTTCCATG